ACATTCTTGCGAAACCAATGGTTGTTGAAGGAGTTCGGCACGCGCGCGCGACAACGCGCGCGTGTGCACTTTTTCCTCGGTTTTGCACGGGGCTATCGAACAATTATGTGTTTTTTTATCAACGAGTGCGCGCGCATAGCATTTGTTGTTGAGGTTGGCGGGGGGGCGATATCGGCTCGGCCTGGGATGGTACGGATTCAAACTTAGGATGGACGACGGGGCAGAATCATGTGCAAATTGCAGTTTGCAAGCGGGCGTTCCCAAGTCCAGGGGGGTGGTCGAGTATATTTTTTGAGACAGGATAAACCCGGTGTACTGGCTCAGCTGTGCAATTTTTGCTACACAAATCTACGTTGTGCAATGTATGTTGTGCAGCCATCCTTTGTGCAATCCAAGCGGGGCAACGTGTGTGGCGACGACGATGCAGCGACGGGGCAGCGACGGCAGCAACGTAGCCGCCAGACCGGCCCAGACAGGCCCAGACGACGGGGCGCCGACGAGGCGGCGACGGGGCGGCGACGGCGGCAACGGAGCCGCCAGACCGACATTCAGGGCCAGACGGCGGGCGGCGACGGGGCGGCTATCGCGACGGGGCGGCGACGGCGACGAGGCGGCGGGCGGCGGCGACGAGCGGGCGGCGGGCGACGGGGCGGCGACGGGGCGGCGACGAGGCGGCTATCGCGACGGGGCGGCGACGGCGACAACGGAGCCGCCAAACTGACATTCAGGCCAAATTCCACAGACCACAAGTAAGAACCCTTAAGCACGAGGACTGGTTGGGGAATCTGCGCACCGCTCTCCCTTCTCCCCCGACTGTGCAGAAGATGCCCCGCCCTGTCCGCGCATCTTTTTTTGCCACAGCATTGCGTGTTGATACTTATGACGCTTGCGTTTTACATTCGGAGCGTCTTCGGTGCTTCAGAGCGGTGCTCCCGCTTCAGATTGGGCGTCATGTTAGGGGCGTGTTTCCGTCTCCTCATCTCTCTTCTTTCCTCCCTCCTCCTCTTCCTCCCCCTCCCCCTCCCAATGTGTTGTAAAACGTTCCTTTTCCTCCTTTCATCTCCCTCCTCCCTCCTCCATTCTCCTACCCCCCTACGCGTTCCAAAGCGTTCCTCTTACTCCTCCTTTCTCCTCCCTCGTCCTTCCTTGCCCTACTCTCCGCCTTGGACTCGGCCTCCCTGTCCAGCATCTTTCCTTTGGCCTCGCGCGTGAACATGCGTTTTTTGTCACCACTTTTATCTTCTACATCTACCACACTCCGGAAGAGGCTCCCAAGAGGCATCCTCCTCCTCCTGTTTCTGTCTGTATGTTTAGCGATCTTGGCCGCGAAGCAAGATGGATCGCCCCTATGCTCCCGCAGCAGCTTGATGTAGTGAAAACTGTTCAGGCTAAACTGGCCAACGCATACTTCAACCTTGGTTACCGCCGGGAACTCGTAGAGCTTCCTTGGCATGCGAGCGCGGCAATCTCGCATTCAGCGCGCGCGAGTGTGTGTGTGTGTGTGTGTGTGTGTGTGTGTGTGTGCGGTTTCATAGAAATGTGCTCGACAGCTCCTTCGCTTGCCCACAGCTCGAGTTCAGTTGAGACAAACACACACCATCGCGAACAATTCGCGATAGTTCTCCCCCTCCCAGCTGCGGCCGCAGCCACGGCCGCAGCCGCAGCCGCGGCTAGAGAGGAACAACCACCGCGAAACATTCGCAATAGCTTCTCCCGCTCAGCCGCGGCCGCGGCTGCAGCCACAACTGCAGTTTTCGGTCGCTCTGGTAGCAAACCGATCTCAGACGTCTCGATACCTCAGAGTAGCGGTCGTGATCTTTTCCTTTTGAAAGGTGGTTCCCAGCTCCGTAGCTTGCCTACAGCTGGAATCAAGGAGAAAAAAACAATATCGCCTCCCCCAAAAATGTGCAGAGTATAAATAGTGTTCTGGCAGGTGACCAATCTCAGGTTTCCGGATACTTTGGATTAGCGCTCCTCAGCAATTTCCGTCGACTGGTGTATATAACAGCTCCGTAGTTAGCTTACAGCTCGAATCAAGTAGAGAAAACAGACATCATCTCTCACAAAATATTAGAAAATTCGAATAGTGTTTCAGTCGCAGCTCTGGTAGCAGACCAATCTCAGACGTCTGGATACTCTAGGCCGAAGTTCCTGGCCATTTCCTGTTCAATCGTGTGTTTTCCAGCGCCGTAGCTTGCCTGCAGCTCGAATTGAGCAGAGAAACGAACGCCGCCTCTCAAAGAAATTAAGAGTTCAAATAGTTTGTTGGTCGCAGCTCTGGTAGCAGACCGATCTCAGGCGTCCGGATGCTTTAGACTGGCGCTTCTCAGCATTTTCTGTCGATTGTTGTGCATCTGAGCTCCGTAGCTAGCCTACAGCTCGATTTATAGTGCGAATAGTTTTTTAGTGGCAGCTCTTGAAACAGACCGATCTCAGACGACTCGACACCGTCGGCGGATCTTCCTGATCATTCCCTGTTGAACGATGTGCTTCCGAGCTCCGCAGCTCGCCTCTCGAATTAAGTAGAGAAAACCAACATCGTGTCCCAAACAAATTGTAGAGTGCACGCAGCTTTTTGGTCCCAGCTCTAGTAGCAGACCGATCTCAGGCGTCTAGATTCTTGAGACTAGCGCCCCTGATGAACTCCATTCGATTGCTGTGCCGAACAGCCCTGTAGCTCATCTAGAGCTCGAGTTAAGTTGAGAAAGCCGACATCACCTGCCAAGATGACACTCAACACTCGATCCCGCCCCGATCTCTTTTGATATTCGTATCCACCCGATCGACCTGAGAAGCGGGAGTAATATCAAAGATGGGGGACAAAATCTTCGAACTCTAGAGAATGGATGGTTGAGCTTCGAGACAATGATGTTCAACCGAACAAAAAAGGACAACACTTCCGTCGATATTTTTCGAGCCAATTCGCCCGCCAGCGCGTTCGAATTACTCTTAAGCTTCGCCGCTTCGCTCTTGGAGAAGCTCTACGAGTCACAGCAACCCGATTGTACAGGTGGCTGAAATCAGCAGCTCGGCGTTGAGTGCCGTGTGACATGGAACCCACCATGGTACCACCTACCTCCTCCCCCTCCCTCCTTTTTCTTCTCAAA